GTAAGTACAAAGGAGAGGCAAAGGATGATTGCAGGAAATTTTAGGTACGGGGGTGGGCAATTTAACTGCAGGAAAAGTTAAATGGGCAGGGGGAAGGTTTAGTCTGGTCTAAACCAATAGTTACGGGTTGGAAGTTCAGGTACCCAGACTCCTTTACTATGACCCAGGTATATCAAGCTACTCCACTGTCAAGTATCTTTAATTCGTAGGTGAAACAGCAAATTTACACACAATTCCAATGCCCATCTCACCCACTATATGCTAGAAGAAATAATGGAAGAACTCTTCTTGTTGATCACAGCAACCAAGTGGATCCTAACTTCCTTCTCCTAGTGCTGTCAAAACTAGCAGACGTCTTCAATTTATTATCTATTAATCATGTATCAGCCCCAGAGTGTAACATGGTTTAATGCATTATGGAAACTAACAGCATCAAAACTACAATGTATCCAAACTCACCTCATCAACTTCCCTGCGGCTAATATCAAAGGTGATGTTAAAAAGTGTCTTCAGGATCTCCATCACCCTCTCAGTCTCCTCTTTGCCAAGCGGTTGAGCAAGATGATCTGTTACTACCTCGTAGATATCGGACCACTTCAGGGCAAGGGTGCTCTCTAGTGCATCAGTAAGGAGACTAACACCCCTCAATTCCCGGGCCAGCTGTCTTCTCACGTCAACCCTTAGTGCCGTGAGGAGGAAAAGAAGGCGGAGATCAAAAAATTTGCTTTCATGAGATAACCTGGTCTCATTGTAGAGCTTCAGACGGCGAGCTAGGCCACAGACCAGCCGCAACTCCTTGGCCACTTCCTGGGCCTCAACGCTATTATAGACAATGTTACACAGAGCCTTCAATGCTTCCACAACACTCTCACTGTCCGGCATGCGTGGCACCTCTGTCTCATCCGAGTAGTCCAACCCTGCGTACTGGACAAGGATCTGCATTGCTGAGCGACTGGTGAAGGGAGACAACCCATACTTGTCTCGTGAAAGAATTCGGATAGTTTCCAGACAGACAACCTGACAAGATGGCTGAAGATCCCGTTCCAGGAACTTGATCACCAACTCTCCAAGTTTCTAGACAAAACCAAAAGCACAGTTAGCAAATGGGAATGAAAACAAATCAAACATCCTTACTAAAATTCTCATTTCATTAGTTGTCAGTTCTATCGATGAGTAAAGAAAGAAATATTATTGGTTGCTTGTGAGAGCAACAATATTCCACAATGTGTCTGCTCCTAAACCGGAAAATAGCCAAAAGCACAAGTCCTTCCAAAATCAATTTTTCAAAACGTATATTACAGTATATGCTGCAGGGTCCAAACACTACCCCAACCCCAGCTCCATGAGGTCCAGGCACCTGAAATACTTGTGAAATACCCCTTGTCCATGGTTATTCTGTGTGTTACCCCTGAGGGTTTCCCCTGTTGGTGAAATCTAGATAAAGAATTAATCCAGGCATATTACAAATTAACCCTTGTAGTGGGGCTACCCCTGCACTGCAAGGGTTAGGTGCTTGTTTTGCTCTAAGGTCTCAAATAGAAAAATATATACTCACTTGTTCCTCAATCCTGTGGCAGTGACGATAATATTATAGGAAGAGTTTTGTTCAAATAAATGGCAACATGGTCTTTTGTGAACCAGATTATAAGACATATGTATGACATTTAGGCAGATTCATTTAAATAACCTTCCCTCAACTGCTCTAAAGTAGAAGTCCAGGATTATAAAACCTGCCCCATACCACCTATTAGTTGTGCGTCTGCTTTATGTGAAAAGCTGTCATCTCCATAGGTAAATCTGTTGCTGACCTGTGCAAAATTTGACTTAGTTGGCACTGTATTTTATAAGTCAGATTCCCTCTACTAAGACATATTAGCCAAATCAGCATGAGGGTTGCACCATTCTATTGTCAGAGAACCCCAAGAATTTGTATAAGTTTCAACTTGAATCTTACACAAGCTGTGCAAACCAACCCTGACCCCCATGTGACATTGGGCCCAGCAATGGACTAGGCAAGCACCAAGCTCTGCATTGCAGGGAGACAGAAGTGTCACATACACATTCAATATCTGCCACTACCACATACTTGTTCAGTCTCTGAGAAACAGAGGAATAACTGCAAAGTAATGAAATGGTCATAGGGGTTGCTACAGTAAAATAAGCCAGCGATTTTTTTCCTAGTAAAGGAACACTACAGGTTCTCTTTAAGCAGTAATGTCAACGACCCTTGCTACAGTCTCTGTGAGAACAGATAAAGAAAATCAGACCAAGTGAGGTAATTCTTTAATCTAATTAAACAAGACCTTGGTTATTAAGTTACACCCATTGCTAAATCCCTAAGAAGCCTGGACTGACTGAGTAATTGAAACCTCCAGCATCACCCCCATAGAAAAAAAAAAAATTGTTCCGAGTGCATTTAGGCTTTTATACTATAACTATCGTTCCTTGATGATATCTGTATGGAGCACTGGGGCCTTCTTATTGTCTCACCTGTCGTAGTTTGAACTCCGGATCATCAGAGCAATCTGAGTCATAGTCTGAGTCTGACTTGGGGGCCCAGTCTCGGAATTTCTTTTGTCTGAACTACAGGTATGAAAAGGGGTTGAAAATGAAGAGGGTCATCACAAAGCAAAGCAGACCCCATATTTAGAAGGTAGCAGAGGGAATTAGATATACCACTGAAGCTACTGCCTTAGCTGTAGACACAGCAGGAACCAAGCTGGAACCTAAACTGGATGTTATTGCCAAGCAATTGGAAACTGCACTATAAAAACAGCAGGGAGAGCTACAACTGTAAAGAACAGCAAGGCAGATACAATGAAATGCTTATTTGATAACATGGCACAAAAAAACAGCCTCTAACAACTAATCAGAGATAAGCTTTAAAAAAATCCATGGGTTACTGAACACAATATATGTGTTATAGTCCATATGTGTTATAGTCCCCACAAACATTTACAATCTGGATTTTTAGCATCCACTGGTTGGCACACTGCAGGTGGGGTTCGAAATATCAGGAATATGCAGTTAGTTGCTTGTTTAGGGACAGGATATTTTGGGGGAACAAGGGATTAAGGGCAGGGGTAGGCAGCCTTGGCTCTCCAGCTGTGCTGAAACTACAAATCCCATAAGGCATTGCAAGCCACAAGCATGACTCCCAGAGGCAGAAGCATGATGGGATTTGTAGTTTCAGCACAGCTGGAGAGCCAAGGTTGCCTACCCCTGGATTAGGGGATACGATTAGTTCAAATGGCTGGGAACAGGATTAGGGAATAGGGGAAAACTAATGGACAGTAAGGGGGTAAGAATGAGGAAGTGTGATCAAGTTAAAGTGTATGCATAGGAAAAAGGGACAAACCAGAGGTTTGCCAGGGGTGGATTATGATACCTTTTCTGCTGGTATGCCACAAAAGGTCAGACCCTTGCAGCCCGTATGTAGCCCATCTAGATTCCCCTTTAGCCACTAGGGAGCATGACTGGCTGGTTGGACTGGTTGCCTGATTGGCCTTGCCCCAGCCCATGGTTCTACAAGGAGAGATTAGGGAGCTGAGAGTCGAGATGAAAGAGAGCTGCGGGAGAGGATAGCAAGGTCAGTGCAGCGTAAGCAGGAAGCAACTATCCAGGGGAAAGAAGGCGGCGGCTGGTGACCCAAGACAAAAACTGCACCAATATACAGTGGAGAGGTGTGCAGTCTGCCATAGCACGGAGAATCCGGAAGGGACAACGACAGGACGGTGTGGACACAGGAAGGAGGAGGCACACAGAACTGCCAGAGGGGCAACATGGGATCAGGTTGAAACAGTTGCTGGTTACTAAGTAGCCCAGTAGTAGCACAAGGGCTGTTGCAAACATGCACAGTATAGAAGCGAGAGAAAATCCTTCACTGAGGACAGCTGTTCTAATTACAACTCTCAAAAAGGTGCCCATACACTCTTCGATTATCTTCAGAAATCTTCCACGAATGGTCTTTTGAACGATAATTGAACAGTTGATGACACCAACAATTTTTTTTCTTTTTTTACTGTAATCCCGCTCTAACTTTCTCAAAGGGTGTGGCTGGAAAACTTTTTTCGAATCGTATGAAAATCGATGGCTTAGTGGTGTTTTCGTACGAAAAAAATTGCAACATGAACAATTTACAAGCGCAAACTAAAATAACATGTGCAAATGAAAATATTTTCTGTCGAATGACAAACGTCGGTGAGTTAGTATTGCTAACGAACGATTATAAAAATCAACATTTGTCTGTGCATAATGGGATATTTGAGCTAGAATGTAACAAGGGTTATTGGCAGCAACGAAAATTTCCGATCGAAAATCTATAGATGTACAGCCATCTTTAATAGGAATTCCGTTAACTTCGGAGAGAGTTCCTCTTTTTTTCTGTTACAGCTTGAGAACAGGAAGTTAAGGGAAATCACCCGGGTGCCAGACAGCAAAAAGTAACTCGATAAGGTGACTATCCAAAACAAAGATCCGATGCCTAGCCTAGGCCCATAGTGGGATTGTCCTAGGCAGAGACCTAGCACCTAGGCCCATAATGTTTCCTAGGCAGAGATTTGAGAGCTATATCCATAATGAAAGTCTCACATGAAGAGATGTGAGGCCTAGGCCTATAGTGGGATTGTCCTAGGACCTAGGCGGAGGTCTAGCACCTAGATCGATAATGGAAGTCTCCTAGGCAGATACAGTATATAAGGCTAAGCTGCATAGTGGGGGGGGGACTAAAATCCAATGCTTAGGCCCACAGTGAAAGTCTTTCAGGCAAAGATACACGGTCTAAGCACATAGTGGGTGTCTCCCATTTAGAAATCTACAGGGTTATTCACAAACCGGTGAAGAGTTTGGAGAAGGCAGGAGAAGTGAAGTGAACTATCTAGGACAGCATAGCTGAACTGGAACGTGAGCTGAATTGGAGAATTTTTCCAAATCAGCTATTTTGACCTAGATTGTTCACTTCTCCTGCCTTCTCCAAACTCTTCACCCTTTTGTGAATAACCCTGCTAGTGTCTAGACCCATAATGGAAATCTTTCAGGCAGAGCTTTGAGGTCTAGATCCATAGGGAATTTTGTCATAGTTGGAGCTTTCCAGGTAGATAGGAAGCTTTGCCAAAACAAAATGTTTTTATTTATGGACAATTTTCCCCCCAAAAAGCAAAGACTATTGGCACATCACCATCAAAATATTAGCCTGACCAAATTGATTGTATTGTAGAATATCTAAAACAGGGAAATTGTATTAATAGCATTTTAGTAACCATAACATTCATACATACAAAGTGATCATTTGTGGCAACAGCAAACCCTAGTAGTTTAGCATCACATGGTAAAATGCTGTGTAACACTCTTTTCACTGTCTGGAAGGCTGTGCCAATTAAATAATAGAGGCCGCACCATATCACCATGTGACAAGAACTGTAAATAGCTGACATTCCAAAGCCGAAAACAATCTATTTTTATAAAGATTAATTTGCTCACTGACTTTACAGACAAAATAAGTATGCATTCAGTTTAGATGCAAACAGTGCTTATCAAAGTGGTTCCTAAAGTGTATGTCTAGCCAACACGAACATGTTTAGACATACAAAGACCAGAGTGGTCAGGGTATGAAAGCTCTGAACTTGAAGTTCTCAAAGCTGAATGCTACCAAGTTCATACTACCAAGGAGGGATCAGCAAACAAATCCTGATACAAACCATGGAGGCACCCATAGGGAAGGGGGGACGGCACTTTCCCAGCTGTAAGGCCATCCAAATAATCTCTACAATAAAGTTGACATCCGTAAGCAAAAAGGGGAAATTAACTTACAGCTGCTGTATCAGCTGGGAGTTTTGTTTACATGCCGGCATTGCAACTGGTTTAATGCTTACTTCGGTGGCAGCAAAAAGGGTTAAAGGAAACCAGTACTGAGAAATGTATGGGGGATGGTATTGCGACATCTTTTTAAAAATGCTGGTTGTGTGGCTGTCTCTAGCTTCAATAACTTGAGTCACTCATCTATAACAAGATCTACATCAGTATAACAACCAGGCCACTAGTATTATTAGAAGGAAAGGTCAGCAATGCCAGCCTAC